GGTCTCGGGCCCCACCAGCAACAGGCCGGCTGCAGACTCGGCAGCTCTTGCTTCAGAGGCGAGGCCTGAGAAGTTCCTCGGGAGGGGAACGGTGCTTCTGTGGAGACCGGGGCGGTACTACGAGTGGCTTTTCCCCCGTGGCGCAGTCCCGCAACCCCTGGGAGAAGACTCTCTGGGTGCCTGCAAAGCCTCGGGCGTCGGCAGCAGCCGGAGCCGGTCGACCTCACATGGAGACTGGACCAGGGAGCGAGCAGAGGGCGCCTGAGGCATCTGCCAGCCAAACAGGAGTGTCCACCAGTGCCGACATGCTGGGCTGCCCTTCTTGGGCCCAGGAGATGTGCCCTGGCCTGGCCTCAGCCTGCCGGAGGCCCAGTCCCCACGGGGGTCCTGTGCTAACTAACCACTAAGATCAGGAAACTGGCTCACAGGAGAAACTATTTACAGCAGCGACCGCCCAGGGGCAGGGTCCACACCCCATCCCTGGCGGTAAGGAGGAACTGAGAGTGGCAGGGAGAGGGGTGGAGGCGCCCTATAGAACGAGGCATGGGCGTGTCCCTCTAGGGCGCCTGAGCCTGCTCCCCTACAGGCACTGCGAGGGGAACTCTCCCGGCGCCGATGCCTGGGGCGAGCACACACGCCGGCATTGGATGGATCAGAGCAAAGCACTCGAAGAACAGTCACAAACCAACGGCTTCCATGTTACAGAACAGAACCGGTCCCACGTCCAGGGAACCACGCGACACTCGGGAGAACAGCCGTGTGCTGGGTTCTGTGCGGATGGGGAGCCAGGCCCCCCAGCACCAGGATGTGGGGAGACAATACAGACTGGTCCCCCCGCGAGGGGCGGGCCGATCCCCCTCCTGCCCCAAAACCCTGTCGAAGCCGAGAACTCTGCCCACCGCGTACCTGGCTGGCGAAGAAATGCCCGATGATTTTCACCACAACTTCCTCGTTCTCATCGGGCGTTTGGTCGCGGGGGACGATGACTTCTGCGCTCGTTAAGTTCTGCAGTTCGTTCACCTGCGGCGAGAGGCGTCGTGGCAACAGTCTGTGGGCACGGTGAACCGCGCCCGCCCCCAGCCGTTCCTGGAAGCCCGGCCAGCAGCCGGACAGGCAGCAGGGGCCCCCCCGCCCCCACCCTGCAGAGTCCAACCAGCTGCTCAGAGGAATCTCCCCCCTCTTCTCTCACATCTCTGCACTTTGCTGAGCTTCCTGTGCTCCACTAGCCCCCTGCCCGCCGGGCCCCCAGCCTGCCAGGCTCCCCCAGCACCCAGCACCGCTGGTTCCCTGGCCCTACGGAACGAGGCCTCCCACAGGCGCTAAGCGTGGGCAGTGAATGGCTCTTAGTACCGCCAGGTGCCCAGCACATGTAGGGAAGGAGGCAGGGGGCACAGTTTTGGCCCAGGCATCGGGGCCTGGTGCCAGCGGGGGCAATGCCAATCCATCCCAGCTCTGAACACAGCCCCTCCTGCCAGGCTGCAGGCCGGGTCTGCTCTGCTGCAGGGTCACAGCTGGCTGGGTTCCTGCGTGTGTGCGGGGATGTGGGGGAGGGTGCGTGTGGTTATGCTGGGGTGTGGGTTGTGTGCGTGGCTGTATCGGGGTATGGTTGTGTTGGGGGGTGTGGGTTGTGTGCGTGGCTGTATCGGGGTATGGTTGTGTTGGGGGGTGTGGGTTGTGTGCGTGGCTGTATCGGGGTATGGTTGTGTTGGGGGGTGTGGGTTGTGTGCGTGGCTGTATCGGGGTATGGTTGTGTTGGGGGGTGTGGGTTGTGTGCGTGGCTGTATCGGGGTATGGTTGTGTTGGGGGGTGTGGGTTGTGTGCGTGGCTGTATCGGGGTATGGTTGTGTTGGGGGGTGTGGGTTGTGTGCGTGGCTGTATCGGGGTATGGTTGTGTTGGGGGGTGTGGGTTGTGTGCGTGGCTGTATCGGGGTATGGTTGTGTTGGGGGGTGTGGGTTGTGTGCGTGGCTGTATCGGGGTATGGTTGTGTTGGGGGGTGTGGGTTGTGTGCGTGGCTGTATCGGGGTATGGTTGTGTTGGGGGGTGTGGGTTGTGTGCGTGGCTGTATCGGGGTATGGTTGTGTTGGGGGGTGTGGGTTGTGTGCGTGGCTGTATCGGGGTATGGTTGTGTTGGGGGGTGTGGGTTGTGTGCGTGGCTGTATCGGGGGGCTGCAGAGGAAGGCACCTTGATGTGGGCTTCAAGCTTCACCTCTTCTTTGGGGCTGAAGAAGTTCTCCTCCTTCAGTTTGCCAAATATCCGGCCCTGGGCCTGCGGGAGGAAGCGCCGTGGTGAGCACCCGGCAGCGCCCAGCTCTGTGCCCCGGGTCCTTCCCCAATGGCGCGGGCGGCCGCCCGCCCGCCGCCGGGGCGGCTGGGAGGCAAGGCCCAGGCCCAGGGCTGAGGTGCAGGCAGCAGCTCCCAGCGAGCCACATTTCAAACGCTCTCAGCGCCCGGGCACTGAGCCCGCTGGGACGCTCCCCGCCACTGGGCCCCCACACAGCCCCTCGTGCGCCAGGGCCCTGCACGCCCGAAAGCCGACACGGCCAGGTCGGACGGACACCGGGGTCCTGAGGCAGGACTGGGGCAGGCCCAGGTAAGGAGAGCGGGAGCAGAGCGGTGCCCTTCGCCCCCCAGCTTCCTGCAGAATTACTGGGCCCCTGGGGCCGCAGCCCCCGTGGGTGCAGAATTCACCAGGAGGCTCCGCCTGTGCGGACAACGCGGCTCTGAGCTGTCGCCCTTCCCGCCTCCCGCTGGCCTCTCAGGGTGTTGACACTGAAGCGTAACGAGGGCACGTTAGCCTCTCGGGGACCCGCGCTCACTGCTCTGGCCCAGCGGGGCAGCAGGCTGAAGTGGAGCTCAGCTCCGGCTGAGCCTGGGCCGAGCACCCTCCTCTGGCTCAAATCGGGTGATGCAGCCCCGCTCCTCTGCTCTCCCCTGGGTGGCTCACTCTGTCCCCACATGCAGCCTGCCCGCCCGCTCCCCACTGACCTTAAACTGGGCTTCTGGGGGCCCAGTGATGATGACCATCCGCTCGCTGGCGTCCGGCCCCTCGGCTGGCGCGATCTGCAAGCCAGAGAGGTAAGTGGTTAGCAGCAGCACCCTCTGCTGATGCAGCCCCGCTCCTCTGCTCTCCCCTGGGTGGCTCACTCTGTCCCCACATGCAGCCTGCCCGCCCGCTCCCCACTGACCTTAAACTGGGCTTCTGGGGGCCCAGTGATGATGACCATCCGCTCGCTGGCGTCCGGCCCCTCGGCTGGCGCGATCTGCAAGCCAGAGAGGTAAGTGGTTAGCAGCAGCACCCTCTGCCCAGCCGCCGGACAGCTCCTGGACAGGCGGCAGGGCGCCCAGGCTGCGTCGCGTGGTATCTGCCCCCTCTCCAGGCAGCCTCACGTCACAGGCGAGGGCTCAGGGAACCAGGATCGCCCCCAAGGCAAGTCTGGCCGGAGACCGCCTGTCTCCTTTCCAGTGGCCCATTTCGGGGGTGCCGAACGGCCCATCCGGCCGGCTCCGCAAACGACCGGCTTCCTGTCTCAGGCAGGGAATCGCTCTCCCCAAAACCTGAACAGCCCTGCTCTGCCTTCCCGGCCAATCCGCCCACGCCCGCCTTTCCCCCGGGCAGCTCGCGCGGTAACAGCCTCGCACAGCAGGCAGGTGTTATGGCAAAGAGAACAGGGCTCGGTCCTCAAAATATCAGCTCATCCTTACGTTGAAAATACGGTTCTGCACCTCCCAGGCCTTGGCTTCCCTCTTCTGCTCTCCCTGGCTGGCTGTCTCGGCAGACAGGTCCAGCGATGGCTGGGTAGGGAGGGTGTCAGAGGCTGGGAAGGGGGGACGGGGGAGGGATCCCTGGATGATTCCCAGCTCTGTTCACCTGGCATTGGCTGCTGGCGGCAGACGGGACAGTGCGCTAGATGAGGGCTGGGTTTTGATGGGGGGCGGGGGGTGTCACACACAGATTTTGATACGTGGTCAAGGCCCTCACTCTTCTATGGAGGGGGTGCCGGGGCTGGATGCAGGGAGCTGGGGATGCGGGTCTGAGAGGGCGTGTGGGTGAAGGAGGGAGTATAATCTGGGGAAAGGGGTTGGGATTCAGGGTCCAAGAGTGGTTATGGGTGCAGAAGAGGATTTTGACTTGGGGGAGGGGTGTAAGAGATGGTTCAAGGTCTGGGAGGAAGTTGTGATCTGGAAGAGGTGGGAGGGCGGGTAGTTGGAGAGAAGAGTGGGTGGGCTCTGGCTGGGAGGTGCTTACCTAAGTGGCTCTCAGCCAGCAGCTCTGCAGACTCTCTGCTGTGGCTGCTCCATGTGACTCTGCTCCAGCACATGGAGGGACTGAGGAGGCTTCATTCACTGCTTTTGCCGTTAACAAAATTTCTCAGCTCCTATTGGCCAGAAACTGGCCAATGGGAGCTTGGAGATTTTGCTAGGGGATGGGAACAGCGTGGAAGCTTTCTCCTCCCTGTCTAGCTTGCAGAGCAATTAGAAGCCTGCTTTTTAAAGTGGCTGCTCCTGCTTTGTAGTAAGGGTGCCGGTGAGATGGCTGCAGGCGGGTTGGATCTGATCTGCTAGTCGCAACTTGCCCACCCCTGATCTAGGATCTCTAGTCACTGATCAAGACCTCATTGTGTTAGGTACTATACAAATACAGAACAAAAGGATGATCCCTCTCCCAGAGAGTTTATAATCTAAGTCCAGCTCAGGGAGTTGGGGCGTGGGAAGGGCTGGGCTCCATGCAGTGCAGAGAGGCAGCAGGCAGGGAGAACGGACGGGGTGGGCTGCATGCTGGCCCCGCCCCCAGCACAATCTCTCAGCTCCCATTGGCCGACTCCTTTCGCCGAGCGCCGGCGCGGAGGGCTGTGGGCGGGGCCGGGCTCTTTGCTTACCTTGATGGAGGCGCCGGCGAATCTCGCCAGCTGCTTGATGTGCTGCCCTTTCTTCCCGATGATGGCGCCCACGGCCTGCGTCGGGATGAACAAATTCACCACCTCCTGCGCCGGCAACTGCGAGGGGAGACGAGACAGCG